AGAATCAAAGAACATGAGAAACACTGCAGACTAAAACAACAGGAAAAATTGCAGTAGCTGAACATACCCTGAAACAAGCAGGGCATGAAATTCTATTTCAAAATAGTGAAGCACTGGACAGCACCAGAAATCATTATGTTAGACTGCACAGGGAAGCCATTGGAATCCACAAACACCAGCAGAGCGTCAACAAAAAAGAAGAAAGTCTAAAACTCAACAGAGCCTGGCTGCCAGCACTGAAAAACACAGCCTGCGAAAGGTCAACAAATTCTACCCAGCCACAAAAACCAGTGGTCTTTTGCACACAAAAGACCAGCTAACGACACCCATCAATCACAGTGACAGATAATCTCTTCTCCTTATCACAACAATAAACCCCCAACAAAAAAACACGCTGATCAACATAATCACCCTATCTCCTGAAAAGGACAAAAAGCTCATCCCACAGCTATAATTACTCAACTAGCCAAACTGCACCAGAGCATAGACGACATTCTGACTCCTGCTCTCTGAAGATGCCGGCCACAGAGACTGGTGAAACGTTAGGAAGAAAAACCTCAAGAACATGGCCAGACAGCCCAAAAAACCTACAACAACCATTGCATCTGGGCCTTGAAAGCCTTCAAGAATACAATGAAAAACATTTAAAGTTGAAACCAATGAGTATACAAATGGTGGTTAACATCATTAAAAGACAATTTTTAAAATGATGAATAATGAATAAGGAGACATCTTACTACATTAACAGGCAATATTAAGGCAAAGATCAGTAAGTATGCAAAAAAGTCACTCAGAGAAATGAAAAACACAAAAATAGAAAACACAAGTAGCACTAAAACTCCAGGCAAAACAACGAGGTATAACAATCTATCTAAAAATCACACACAGGTAGTTGTTTTACTGAGGGAAAGCTTGTGTGAAGAGAAAGGTCTTTTGCCTGCTTGTGGAAGGATAGCAAAGATGGGGCCAGCTTGGCCACCAGTGGGAGGGAGTTCCAAAGTCAGGGAGCAGCAACAGAGAAGTCTTGTGTCCCCATCGGATGCACCTGTGAAGGTGGCAGGACGGAGGGAAAGGCCTCCCCTGATGATCTTAACACCCCGGCGAGCTCATAATGGGAGATAAGGTCTTTGAGAAAGGTTGGACCCAATCTATTTAGGGCTCTGCAGGTTAAAACCAGCACTTTAAATTGTGCCTGGTAACTGATCAGCAGCCAGTGGAGCTGTTTTAACATGGGGTTATGTGATCCTTGTTACCAGCCTCAAACAGGAATCTGGCTGCAGCATTTTAGACCTGCTGTAGTTTCCTGACATTTGTAGCACATTACAGTAATCCAGCCAGGAAGTAACTAGGACATGTATTATGGTGGCCAGATCAGATCTCTCAAGAAACGGACATAGCTGGCGCACTAGTTTTAGTTATGCAAACGCACTTCTGGCCACTTCCAAGACCTTAGTATCCAGGTTCAAGGATGACTCCAGGAGCACCCCCAAGATCATCCATTAACCCAAGGGAAGCAGGGGGCACTTACTAAGCTGGCTGCTTGTAGGGAGTCTGTGCTTCCACCAGTCTCCTTCTGCAGTACTGTATAAAGAGCTTCAGTTTGGCTGGAACAGTATCTTATCTCCCAGTGTCCTCTTAAACCTAATGTTTCCTTAATCTTGTTTCATCTGGAGCTGTCCATGGTCCTACCCATCACTCCTTTGACTTTTATTGCACCTTGCTATATTTGGTTTAAGTGCCATTTATTTTCCTGTTACATTTATATCTCCTATTTCCTTCAATGAGTTTGTGGTGGTGTATGTGATCCGCCTCTCTACTTTTTCACACAATAGTGCTGTCTTCAGAAGGAAATTGTTTCTTTACAGTATTTGAGCTGGGTAGTTCCATTTTGCTCACTTTTATGCAGAGGCATGTGAAGTTTATTCCTAGGCTCGTGTGAATTCATTTGTTTATTTTATTTATTGGATTTCTATCCCACCCATCTAGACCAAAGGTCTACTCTGGGCGGTTTACAAATTTAAAAACAATAAAATAAAAAAAATAGGTCCAAGATGGCAAAGTATAAGAAATTAAGATATGGCAGGAGGGAAAGCCTGCCCAAATAGCCAGGTTTTAAGTTTATTCCTAAAAACACCCAGAGAGGGAGCCAGGCAGACCTCCACTGGCGAGTTGTTCCAAAGGCAAGGGGCCACCGCCGAGAAGACCCTGTTTCTCATTCTTTTCTTCCATACCTCCCTTGGCATTAGGCTCCTCAGCCGCCTGGCCTGGCTGGAACAAGTGACTCTGGCAGAACTGGGTGGGAGAAGGCGCTCTGCCAGATATCGAGGTCCTAAACCATTTAGGGCTTTATATGTAATCATAAGAACTTTGAAATCAATGTGGAAATGAATGGGCAGCCAATGCAAGGTAGCCAGTGTGGGGGAAATATGTTGGTACCTTTTCACCCCTGTAAGAAGTCTGGCTGCAATATTTTGTACCATCTGAAGTTTCCGCGTCAGTCTCAAAGGCAGCCCCACGTAGAGCGCATTACAGTAGTCTAATCTTGAGAGTACAACCGCATGGACCAAAGTAGTGAGCGCCCCATATCAAGATAGGGACATAGCTGGGCAATCCGCCTAAGGTGGAAATGTGTGGAATGGACCACTGATGACACCTGGTTTTCCATGGTGAGCGCCAGGTCCAAATGTACACCCAAACTGCAAACCTCACTCTTGGTGGTAAGAGTAAAAAAACCCCAAAGGAAAGGGAGTTTACCAGACCACTGATGTCTGGTACACCCACCTGAAGGACCTCCATCTTGCCCGGATTTTCCTGCATCCATTGCTGAACAGCCAACAGGCAGCGCTCAAGGGATGAAAGAGTATCACTGTTGTTGGAAAAAAGGAGATGTACAGCTGAGTATGATCAGCATACTCATGACACGAAGCCCCACATCCCCTGATGACCCTTCCGAGCAGCCACATGTAGATGTTAAACAGCATTGAAGAGATAATCGAGCCCTGCGGAACCCCACAATTGAGGCTCCACAGGGCCACGAAACTCTCCAATCTGCACTCTCTGAGAACGGTCCTCCAAGAAGGAATGGAGCCAAGCAAGAGTTAGGCCACCGATTCCCAGCTCAGAGAGCCTCCCCAAGAGGATGCTGTGGTCGACGGTATCGAAGGAAGCTGAGATATTGACGAGGGCCAGCAAAGACATTTTGCCCCTGTTGGCCTCCCTCAGCAGGTCATCAAACAGGGCGACCAATGCCGTTTCCATACCATGGAGCGGCCTGAAGCCCTATTGGAATGGATCCAGGACTTGGTTTCATCCAAAAGAGCTTGGAGCTGATCAGCCACCACCCTCATTGTTGTAGGTCTTGCTGTTTTGATTAGCCAGGCTGGGCAAGGGTCAAGGGAGGAGGTGGTGGCAAACTATACAGAAAAGCTCTGCCTGCTTGTTCGAGGCTTCGCTTATCCAGACAGCAAAGTAAGATCAATTGGCAGCCTTCACCTTAGATTCGTAGAGATTAGTTGTGATTCTGACAGCTGTTTGATTATTTTCCATTGGGTTCCGCCTCCATATGTGCTCTAGCCATCTCCTATTTCGGTTCATTGATCACAGCTCTGGATTAAACCAGGGCGAAGGGCAATCTCTTCGCCAGACAAGGTGTTTAGGTGCGATCGTGTCAGCAGACCTGGTGGCGGCAGCCAGCCAGCTATCAACCAGAGCCTCGACAGGAGCGGCAGTCAAATCACCCAGAATCCCTCTCATAGTGTCCTGGAATCCTATAGGACCCAATAATCTTTGAGGGCAAAACATTAAAACAGATCCTTGATACCTGCAGGGAGGGAGAGCCACTGCAAGATTGCATTTAATTGGGCAATGATCTGACCATGTCAAGGGGACAGACACTAGGTCAGTCACCATCGGAGCACACTCACTCTGCTCAGTGGAGAACACCAGGTCCAGTGTGTGGCCATCCACATGGGTAGGGCCATTGACATGTTGGGACATGTCCAAGGAGGCCATGGTCTCCAAGAACTCAAGCGCTAGACCAGAAACCTCTGCCTTCGCATGCACATTAAAGTCACCGAAGACCAAAAGCCTTAGGGACCCCAACAGTGTAGTGGAGACAAAGTCTGCTAGCTCTGGTAAGGAAATGGCTGGGTTGCGGAGAGCGTGCTAACCTAGCAAGATCCCTATACCATCCCTGGCCCCAATCGACACATGATTGGGCATCACCAGAGCAAAGTGCCTAGCAACCTGAAGGGTAGACAATGGCTACTCCCCGCCCCACCCCTCCAGTCTACCCTGGTGTTGGACTGCATAACCAGGAGGGCAGGCAAGAGTCAGGGGAACGCCCCCATCCATGCCCATCCATGTTTTGGTTAGGCATGCCAGATCTGCATCCTCCTCCAGAATCAGATTTTGTATAATCTGGGATTTATTTAATACAGATCTGGCATTCAACAACACCAGGTTTAGAGTGGAGGGCCAGCTGAGTTGACTACCTTGAGTATGGCAGGAGGTCACAGTGCCAGAACAGTGAACAGATTTCAAGCATCTGTTCATCATTCTTCTGGAACATATTGCATCAGCACCTACACCATATCTCTGTCTGCCAGAAATCACTCTGATTTTAAAAAGTCCCCCTCGGGGGGGCCAAGCCTTCCACTCCATGCCAAGCAAGAAAGAAAAAAGAAACCAAAAATTTAACAACTAAAAAGTAGCCAATAATTGGTAACAGAATTAACAATCAAATAAAAAAAATGATCAAACAAAATAAACTGTAACATAATAAACACATTAAGATCCAGATTAATCAGACATCAGTAACAATATACATATACAAATTAAACAATTAATACTATAACTTATATAGAATTACTGTATGCAAAAAGAAAACAATTTAAGGAAAATGAAACAAAATAAAAATAAAAAAGAACATAGGCAAAAGATCCCCCCATCCCTCCCCATTGCACTTAGATAACAGGGACTTTGCCTCCTCCAGCCAGCCAGAACAAAAGGTGTAATTGAATAGGATCGCTGGGTTTAATGTCTCTCCTCCTCTCAGTATGGTATTGTTAAAGGACGGCAGAGGTGGAATGGCCTGCCTTCTCCAAGGACACAACTGCCATTGTTGGAACCACAGCACAACAACTCTCCAAAAGGCTATGGACCAGGTTCGTTTGAATATCAGCCAGGAGAGCCAGGGAACAGAAGCAGGAGTAACAGCAGCTGAAACCAGGGTCATCTGTGAGAGAACAACAGTCACACCCCCAGGGGATGATGGCTCCAAGAGGAAAAAAGCCACCTGGGGCAAGCACAATACCCTCACAACGGGGCCAGCCACCAGCAGCGTTGTCTCGGCATCCTTAGCAACCACATCTCCCCTCAGTTCCAGAGCATTACCTGGAAGTTCCATGGTCGTCAGTGTTTGAATCACCACCAGAGTCATCACATTCCGAAACTGCAATCCAAACCTCCGCGGCGCAGGCTGTCTCTCACTACCGTGGGAAAACGCCCATACTCAGGAGCAGGGAGACCACCCGTCATTCCTTGAGACCACAGCAGGCCAGTGGCAAAGCGTTAAGTCTGTTCAAGGACTTCCATCTTCGGCAGGCAAAGCCCAGGCAAGCGGGAGGGGTCCGAGAGGGAGTGAAAAACCCAAAAGCAGAATGCAAAACACAAAAGAGAGGGGAAAAAACAAAAAGAGACACAAGAAAGGCTCAAAACCAAACTAAATAGTGGTTGTTGTGGGTTTTTCGGGCACTTTGGCCATGTTCTGGAGGTTGTTCTTCCTAACGTTTCGCCAGTCTCTGTGGCCGGCATCTTCAGAGGACAGCCCCAGAGCACAGAGTGC